AAATTCTTTAAATATGAAAACATACTTACAGGCTGAGTCAGAAGCGCCAGACTGTCCTTGCAAAGTTGGAATTGCCCCACTTTATAGTGCACACATCTGAATATTTGGTTTGAACTGTTCTGGATCTGTTGTAAATACAACTTAACCACTGATTTCTAGTTGTGTCCTCTTTTGAAAGACCAAACAAAGTAGTTTCGCTTTCACAACGAAACACAGCGTCTCCACGACATGGCGGCAGCAACAATACTACAGCGAGAATCAAAGTTATGCCTTCTTTCTTTGCGTGAACATTTGGGCGGTGTTATGCAAATCTTTCCACACAGTGACGTAGACATGTGGGGGCGTGTTTAAACGAGGCGTTTTAGGAGGGCGTGGATGAGTCTTAAATTTTAAAGAATATCTCTTTGGGTTTGAGACTTTAGCCTTTGCAACTTTAGGGATCTTATCTATGCACGAACAGCTTGTAACACTCCAAAGAGAAAGGAAAACTTGAAATTGCATCATATGACCCCTTTATTAAAAAGACCAAGTGAACAAAGAACAGGAAACACTAGGAAACAGAGAACCAAAACACAGGCAGACAACGGCATAATAACATTCAACAACTGACCAAGCACACGTGAAACGCAAGGGCTATTTATACACAGGAGAACAAGCTAACAAGAAAACAAGGGGTGTGGTAAATGGGGAAACACCTGGGGAACCTAATCACGGGGAACCAATACACAAATGGACTACAAACAGACTACAAACAAGGCACAGGAAGTACTTCAACATAAAAGTCCAGACAAGGCACAGAGAACATGTAACAGTAGTGCAACAATTTCTTAATATTAAATCCATCCAAAATTAAAAGCAGTGCAATAAAATACATATGAAACCTTTACAATTTTTAATATATATATATTTAAGTTTTATTTGCAACAATTGCAAGCATGTACTGTACATATTTGACATTCAGGTGACATTATGTGAGTGTGCTAATATTTTCTGCTTTTATGTGTAGGCCAGGCAATGACATACGCACGTCAGTTTTTGCTGAGCGCACCAGCAGGTCGGAGGTATAGTGTTCCCGGGGTGGTTGTTATTATCGCAGACGAGAAGTCAACCGATGATCTTAGCCAGCCGGCTGCTGCTGTTAGAGCTGATGGTAAGCCACACAAAATCAGCCCCAGCACATTAATGTACACGCAAACAGAGCAAACCATCCCGGCTGCTCTGTCCCATGTCCATAAGAGTGAGTTAGCACTGTAATAACTCTGTCCCTCAGGTGTGACAGTGTTGGCGGTAGGAATTGGACGTGCAGACTCTAGAGAGCTGCGTTCGGCAGTGACAGATGGCAGCACTCAGAATCTGCTCTATGCTCAAGACGCAAATCAGCTCTCTGGTCTCCACCCCGACCTGGCAGACCTCCTCTGTGGCCTTGCACGCGGGACTAGTGTCACGGTCAGATAAAATCCATCCATCTAGCTGTCATAAATGTTGTGTCATCATTTTTTTATTTATTATGATGCTTGCTTTGCCTGTCAAGCTCACCAGAGTCATGATACAGCAGAAGGTTTTTTTATGTTATGGTGGTTTCAAACCTTATTGATAGTCTTTATTGATAAGAAGAGAAGACTAGGTGCAGTAAAGACTGATTTTGATTTGTTGTTTCCTTTTAGCCAGGGCCTTGTACCGTACAGTGTCCACAAGTAAGTGCGTACTTAAAAGACTAACACATACAGAAACACCAAGACATAATTACATATTTGTGTTTACATTTGTACATCTACATGCACTTCACAAGAGATTGACCTGTGTCGTTGTTGCAGGGTGCTAAAGGGGAACTGGGTCAGAAGGTAATAATTGTTGTTGTATATAATAACTACAAGTTGGCTTGTTGGAGTTGATAATTGCTGTAATTTTCTGGTGAAATGTTTATGCATCTTGTCTTTTGTGTGTATATAGGGTGAGAGGGGCAGAGATGGAGTGGATGGAAGAAAAGGCGAGCCTGTAAGTTAATCTGCATGCACATTTAGCTCTGTTTGTTCATCTAAACTGTGGGATTCATTAATTATTTCTTAGAAACTTTGTTTTTTATATCCTCAAGTAAATGTCTGTCTGATTGTGTGTGTGTGTGTGTGTTTTTAAATAGGGTCATGATGGTTTACCCGGTCGTGAGGGCCTCAGAGGACCAGAGGGGCCACCAGGTCAACCAGGCAGTGGTCTGGGAGTGAGAGGAGAGAAAGGCGAGAGAGTAAGTGGCACTTAAATATGAATACACACATATATGCACACAGAACACAAGTGTTGATATGCTCTCTCTTTTTCTATTTGTTTCCCTCCATCTTTTTCAGGGTTTCCCAGGACTGGATGGCAGTCCAGGTGTTCCAGGTCGTCCTGGTGCAGTTGGATTACCAGTAAGAATGAAATCATGAGTAATTGTATTAAATGGTACCGTTAAAACAGGTATTTGGATATATTGTATGCACATTGTGGCGGGATCACCAAACGACAGACACAGTGGGTGTGGCATCAGGCCTCGGAGAGGCTTTTATTAACAAAATAAACAACAAAGTGTCCAGGAAAAAGGGGAATCAAGTGTCCAAAATAAAACAGGGGATCTGGTGTCCTCGTCGTGCTGCGGGGTTCGTGCAGGGAAGGGCAGTGGTCAGGAAGGAAGGGTCCAGGTAAGGGCCGGAGTCCGGCAGCCGCACGTGCTCCCCTCTCAGGTCCGGGGCGCGAGGGGCGGCGGCTTCTTTCAACGGCTTCGTCCTTCTCTCTGCCCACGGCACTTGAAGGGACTAGACGGCCCGGCATCCTAGCCCGACGGCCGTGTAACGGGTGCGGTTCTCGTCCGGACCGCGGGTCCGGTAGCTCACGACTCTGGCGGCACGGGAGTCCCTCTATGCACCCTTCCTGGACCCACGAGGACACCAGCGTGCATGCACGGGGAAGAGACCGGTCTCCCGAGGAGAGGCGCGCTCGGCATTTAAACAGCGGCGGTGATGAGGCTCCATTCGGTTCAGGTGTGCCCCATCAAAATATAGGCGCCTATCTTTAGTGATGCAGCGCAAAGAGCCGCTTCAGAAACTTGCCACGGTGTGGCTGGTGAGTAGCCATGATCAGTTCCGGTGGCCGTGTCGGAGCAGTAACGCACTGCAGACGTGTGCAGTGTAAATAAGGGGTAAGAGATTTATTCATGATACATTGTAGGTATAGCTTCACTGATTATAACGGGAGTCGGGAGTGTTTTTAAAGAGCATAATACTCGCGCTAGACTGAAGTCAGATATGATGTTGCTAAAAAGAACATTATTTTGTGTATTTGGTGTAATGAAATGTGTTTATGTGGTTTAAAGTAAAAAAAACACATTCTTTTCCACATACTCTACATTATTGTTTCTTCTCTATGCCCCGCCTTTCTGAAAAGCGAGGTGTGCTCTGATTGGGCTTTAAGAAATTTGACAACTTGCTTTTATACTTAAGTTTGAAAGTAGGAGTAAATTTAATTAATTCTCAGCACTTAAAGGGGTCATATGATGTTGCTAAAAAGAACATTATTTTGAGTTTTTGGTGTAATGAAATGTGTTTATGTGGTTTAAAGTAAAAAAAACACATTCTTTTCCACATACTGTACATTATTGTTTCTCCTCTATGCCCCGCCAGTCTATGCAACTTTACAGATCTTCTTTATGCACCAAGAGCTTGTAACACTCCAAAGAGAAAGGAAAAATTGAAATCGCATCATATGACCCCTATAAGACTAAAATGGCACTTTGAGGAGCTTGATAAATACGGTCCCAGGTCTGGATGCATGCTAAAAACTCTTAATCTCTTAATTTATCTCTTAATTAATCTCTTAATTTAATCCTCTTTAGTGCAGTACCACTTAAAATATTAAAGCTAAAAAGATCTCATGAATTGATTTATAACATGGGTTAATAATCTGATGTCATTCTGTTGTTTCATTCAGGGCATTCAGGGATTACCAGGTGTGACAGGAGACCCTGTGAGTACTCATATACATACTGTACATGTATAGACAAACATACACAAACACTTATTAAATGTTTTGTCTGTTTTGTTTTACAGGGAGAACCAGGCATTTCAGGCCCTCATGGATTAAAGGGAGAGAAAGGTGAAAGGGTAAGAGTGATATTAAAATTCATCTTTAACTGCTCTACTCTACCCCTTGATTTAGCATTTCATTTATTCATTCACTTTTACAGCATTTACAACAAGAGCTTCAATTGTTTGGTTCAAGAAATTATATGTTTTTACTACTTGCTACAGGGGGAACCTGGATCTGCTTTTGGAGGAGGTTTACCGGGCCGTAAAGGAGAGCCAGGAATCCCAGGGATCCCTGTAAGAAACACAAGAAAATCACTCTCACCTGCACAATGACAAGAAAGAAGCATATACATGTACAAGTTCTTCATGTCATCAAGTAAACAACAGGGTTATTACATTGCCTATTTTATGTCTTTCTTTCCTTTTAGGGCACTCCTAGTCGTCCAGGTGTGGATGGGGCGAAGGGAGAGCCAGGTGCACGAGGTCTGTCCGGACAGGATGGTCGCCCTGGGTTGCCAGGCACTGCTGGACTTTCTATTAAGGTCAAAATCCATGACCTTTCCTTTTTTTATTGCATCTTTTTTATCAACATTTCAACCACTTATAACATAAACATAACCAAACCAACCAACAGACAATGTCCATCTTTTACCATGCTAGTGAAAAAAAAAGTAAAAGAAAAGGAGAAGAAAAAAAAACATATGTGCCTTATAACATACCAAAACTCAAAATATTACTTAAAGAGACATCAATAAAATCCAGGTATGTAGTCCAAACTTCAGTAGACATGTGAGTAACACAAGTTAAAAATTCTAAGGGAATCATTTCCCTAATAATCTTGTGCCATCCTCCATTGCCTTTTCTGCTAAAGGTGTCTCTAAATGTGCAGTATGCATGCCCCTGTCCCTGGCCCTGTTTGAGTGATGAGTAGTTCGCTGTGAACTCATGCCATTGTGGACTTTGGGCATATTGAGGGTCTTAATGGCCAAGTTGAAGAACACAACACTTATCTATATATGTATTCATGAGCTCACTCACCTTTCTTTATGCATTGTGTGAGGTTAGAGGTCAAAATAAAAATAATCGATCTACAGTAAAACATCTGCACAGCAGTTAAATGAACCAAATATCTATCAGTACACAGAGATAATCTCACCGCCATGTTTGTTTTCTTATTTTAACCCAGCTATGAAAATATGTGAAAGTGCCACTGGCATTTTTATCTAGATCGATATTGTTATGCAACATTATTCATTGTTTTCACTGTTTGAAGTTTCACGTATACCTTCAGCCAGTCATGTACCTGTCTGTTTTTGTGTTTCATTTAATTTTCCTGCAGGGTGAAAAAGGCAGCCATGGTGAGAGGGTGAGTTGATATAAATTCTTCTTCAAAAGAAACCAGGGAAGCCTTCTCCCAAAAAAAAAAGAGAGAGAGAAAATAATTGCTAGTATAACAATAACACAGAACAAATATTATAAAATAAGACATCAAATGGTGTATAAACTACTATATTTTAATAGAATCAGTTACTTTAGATGTAACCATATGAAGCAAATTTTTTGTCTATTTGTCAGCATATGTTAGTAAACATGCAGAAATATTGTATTGATTGCATGTTGATAGTCCCAAGTGTAAGGTACATGGTCTTTTTATATACCTTTAACCTAGAATCCATGTAATCAGATGAAACGTAAATTTACACTGATAAAAAAAGAAAATGCCTAATTTCAGAAGTCCACCACACACTACTCATATAAATGAAATGATTTTGTATGCATTTCTAGGGAATTTAAAAGCAATAATCCATTATTTCTTGATGTGGAGAAGCAAGTACTCTAACATTTCATTAAAACGTCCCATGTTGTTTAAGGATTCAGCAAGGGCAAAGTAATTTAATGCACCACGAGAACTCTCTAATGGCATACTAATACAATGTGTAAAGACAATCAGTCACATTTATTGAACGTAAATGTGTTCTTCTTTCTTATTCTGATTAACAGGGTCCTCCCGGAGTGGGTAGTGGGGTAGCTGCTAAAGGAGATGCCGGTGAACCTGTGAGTGTCTCCATTATTCATGCCAAAGTGACAGTGTAAATGGATGTTAACGTGTGTATCTGTGTTTCTGTGTGAGTGCTGCTGTAAATTGGTCATGTGTACTTCAATGTGTGTTTTTGAGTTTTTATCACATGCACCGAATGGTATTTGTGTGTATTTTCAGGGAAGTCCTGGATCGCCTGGTTCTCAGGGCCCACGAGGACTGACTGGACAAAAAGGAGCCAAAGGAGAATCTGTATGTTTTTCTGCCATTATTTTTTTTACATTGCTCGTAAGCTATTTTTTGTTTGTGTTTTGTAAAATGTGTGCATTGCTTGTCCATGAATGTATTTCCTTGACCTGGCCTGTTTGTGTGATTGTGTTGCAGGGTGAGAGTATTGAGGGTAAACCAGGCCCCCAAGGAAACACCGGAGACCCTGGTGATCGGGTATGAAATGCTTTCACTAATATATTTCATGGTTGCTCTAACATTCCTCCTCATTTTTCTTTAATTCGTGGATTTTTGTTTCAGGGTCCCCGAGGACCTCCTGGTGAAATTGGAAGTAAGGTAAAGAACAGAAGTCAGTGCATGACTTTATTGTGGCTTGTGTCATCAAGGTACAATGAACACACTTTCTGAATGCATAATCTATGAATCAGTTGATTAAGTTTTGTTGTTTATTGTTTTTTCAGGGTGATCGAGGACAGACTGGACCTCCTGGTTCAGATGGAGCCAAGGTGACTATTTGTCTATGCTAGGGGTTGAATGACTTCTGATTTTTTGAAGTCGACTTTTACGTGATGAAAGTCGAGTCGAAGTCGACTAGTCGTTGATGACGTCATTAATGAACAAATAAGTCTGGAGCTGTGACAAACACCTTGTGCACAGCTATGGCATATGACACAGCGCTGCCCACATGGCTGTTGCTCCTATAACAGCTTTTTTATCAGTTCTTTTGTCTTTGGATCGTTATATTTCTCACAGA